GACACTACTCTACAGGCTAGTGACTGGAATCCCACGCTTTCTGCTTCATGTCTACCCAGGAGGGCAGAACAGCCTCTGCCTCATGTTTCTCCTGCTGTGATGTTCTGTCCAAATGCAGAATCAAGCAACTGTGGATGGACTCCTCTGAAACTGTGGACCCAGATAAGTATTTCCTTTCTTAGGTTGTTTCTGTTTTATATTTTGTCACAGTGATGTGAAAAGTAACTACCATAAATTTTTGTTTCCAAAGAAATGGGGTCACTGCTGTGACTAACCTTAGACATTTGGGCTTTTAGCTGCTGTGGAATAATCCCTTCTGTACACTGTGTAAATTATGCTGTGGTAGGTTTAATAGAGAATCTGATAGGCTAACAGCTAGACAAGATAAGGTTAGGCTAGAAAACCATACTAAGGACACTGGGAAGAAGGGCAGTGTCAGAAGATTTTCCAGGAGACATAGGGGAAGAAAGACATGCTGGAGGACAGGTAAAGCCACGAGCTATGTGGCAATACATAGATTAATATAAATAGGTTAATTTAACTTATAAGAGCTAGTTAATAATAAGCCTGAGCTATTAGCTGAGCATTTATAATTTATATTAAGTGTCTGTGTTGGTTATTTGGGAACTGGGGTGGGAAAGAAAAGCCCACCTACATTCAGCCTTTGGGGCTAGCCTGTGGGGGGACTTTGGAGGAGTTTGGAGATGTAAACAAAAGAAGCCATAGGATGTTATAACCAAAGCTTTAGTGATTCTGGTGGGACTGCAGAAGACCAGAATGACAATAGAAATGCCTAAAGGCCATACTCATAAGGTTTTAATGAGAGCTAGTATTCTACTGGGAATTGGAATAGAGACCATTTGTATTGCATTTTGATGATGAATTTGTGTACAAAAAGTCTTTGCCATGAAACTCTGTGGAGGGTAAAGTTTAAAGGTGATGGCTTCTCTAATCTGGTAGAGGAACTATTAAGGCAGTCCAGCATATAGCCTAACACAGTTATTATTGCTAGTTGCTTTTAGCAGGTTCATGTGAGAATTGAGAGTAAGAGTTGAAAAAAAACTGCAGTAGTACTGCTGAGTAAGTAAGTGAATGAGTGAGTGAAGGGGTGATTGATACTTTTTTCAGAGGAAATTTCCTCCATCTTTCATGATCATGACCACTGTCATCATGGAGGGAGAGACAGAGTTCATAGAAATGGAAGTGATTTTTAAAATATAGACATTGAACATGAATATGAGAATTGGAAGATTCAATGGAGACAATCTAGGCTAACTGTTAATTCATGTAGGAGTAGAAATGGGAAAATGAGAGGTGGGGAGGTGAAAATGGAATGGTTATAGGAAAATAGTTAGTTTACTACTGAACAAGAGTTAATGTTCATGTCTTGGCTTCGAGTCCTGTTTCTCTTATCTACTATCTTTTAAATATATTTTCAGTAGACAAGTCTGAGAAAAATGTGTTCTACTTGGAGAGATCAGGAATACAGGGGTCATACCTAAACATAATAAAGGCAATTTACAGCCAGCCAACAGCCAACATCAAAGTAAATGGAGAGAAACTCAAATCGATTCCACTAAAATCAGGAACAAGACAAGGCTGTCTGCTCTCCCCATATTTATTCAATATAGTACTTGAAGTTCTAGCCAGAGCAATAAGACAACATAAGGAGATCAAGGGGATACAAATTGGAAAGGAAGAAGTCAAGCTTTCACTATTTGCAGATGACACGATAGTACACATAAGTGACCCCAAAAATTCAACCAAGGAACTCATACAGCTTACAAACACCTTCAGTAATATAGCAGGATACAAGATTAACTCAAAAAGAAATCAGTAGCCCTCCTATATACAAATGACAAATGGGCTGAGAAAGAAATCAGAGAAACATCACCCTATACAATAGACACAAATGGTGTAAAATACCTTGGGGTAACTCTAACTAAGCAAGCGAAGGACCTGTATGACAAGAACTTTGGGTCCCTGAGGAAAGAAATTGAAGAAGATGTCAGAAAATGGAATGATCTCTCATGCTCATGGATAGGTAGGATTGACATAGTGAAATGGCAATCTTACCAAAAGCAATCTACAGATTCAATGCAATTCCCATCAAAATACCAACACAATTCTTCACAGACCTGGAAAGAATAATACTCAACTTCATAGGAAAAACAAAAAACCTAGGATAGCCAAAAGAATCCTGTACAATAAAACAACCTCTGGAGGCATCACGATCCCTGACCTCAAGCTCTACTATAGAACTACAGTAATAAAAACAGCTTGGTACTGGCATAAAAACCGACATGTGGACCAATGGAACCGAACTGAAGACCCTGACATTAATTTGCACAACTATGAACATATAATTTTTGACAAAGAAGCCAAAACTGTACAATGGAAAAAAAAGCATCTTCAACAAATGGTGCTGGCATAACTGGATGTCAACATGTAGAAGACTGCAAATAGATCCTTATCTGTCTCTGTGCAAAAAACTTAAGTCCAAGTGGATCAAAGACCTCAACATAAATCCAGTTACTCTGATCCTGATAGAAGAGAAAGTAGGAAGTAGTCTTGAATGCATTGGCATAGGAGATCACTTCCTAATTATAACACCAGTAGCACAGACACTGAGAGGAACAATTAATCAATGGTACTGCTTGAAACTGAGAAGATTTTGTAGGGCAAAGGACATGGTCAATAAGACAAAACGACAGCCTACAGAATGGGAAAAGATCTTCACCAACCCCACATCTGACAGAGGGCTGATATACAGAATATATAAAGAACTCAAGAAATTAGACATCAAAATACACAACAGTCCAATTAAAAAATAGGCTATAGAGCTAAACAGAGAATTCTCAACAGAAGAAGCTCAAATGGTTGAAAGACATCTAAGGAATTGCTCAACATCCTTAATCATCAAGGAAATGCAAATCAAAACGACTCTGAGATACCACCTTATACCTGTCAGAATGGCTAAGATCAAAAAACACTGAAGACAGCATATGTTGGAGAGGATGTGGAACAAAGGGAACACTCCTCCACTGTTGGTGGGAATGCAAGCTTGTACAGCCATTTTGGAAATCAATATGATGCTTTCTTAGAAAATTGGGAATCAACCTCCCTCAAGACCCAGCAAGAATGGTTCTTGCTCCATTTGGTGCAGGGAAGAGGGGATTGGACCTGCCTCAACTGAATCTACCAGGCTGGGCTGACTCCCCAGGGGAGACCTTGCCTTGGAGGAGGTGGGAATAGGGCATGGATAGGGGGGAAAGCAGGGGGGGGGTTGGAGGAGGGAGGACAGGGGAATCCGTGGCTGATATGTAAAATTAAATTAATTATAAAATAAAAATATTTATAAAAATGTGTTCTACATGCCCTATTTTCATCTTTTCTTGTTGCCTTCCCAGTTATCAAGAGAAAGAGCTTCACGCAAAAGTCACTAATGTAATTGAGATTAATTTTAAACTTTTTCTTTGAGTTACAGTTCAGTCACTAAGTTTCCCTCTGGAGAAAAGAAATCCATGGGGGACATTTGTCCCTTGGTTATAGCCTGTGAGTTAGTTTATTATAAAGAATTCAAAGACCTCAGTGTTTAGTCACAACCTTTGGACAAAGAATGAGTGGGTAGATTTTCTTGTCAAAAGAAAAAATTTAAAATTTCTTTCTTTGCTGCTTCTTATGCCGGTAATTATTCTTTACATTCAAATGATGTTGATCTTAGTGTAGATCCCTGAATTTCCTCTTTTTTTGTGATTAACTTTATACATCAGTTACTATTGCTTTCTAATAACTACTAGGAATATTGATGTTGTTTTGATTGATGTCCTTGAAGACAAAGTGAGACTCTTGAATTGCAATGACAACCACCACCCAGAACAGTCAGAAATCTCAATGCTACTGAGACTGCTGTTTTGATTTAGTGCGTGGAAAAATCATCTGAAGGTGGTTTGGGAAGCCAGTTCTCCCCTCTCAGCCTTTGTCACTTGTCTATGAGCAGAAAGATTTGGGAGATATCCCTGTAGACCCACTTCACCTTATTCTAGCCTGGTTAAGCTGAGCATGACCAGAACTTGGCTCACTGGGTGTTCAGTGAGAAATCTGTTGGGTGGTGGTATTATTTAAGGGACCTTGCTTGCTCAAGGACCAGGATTCATAAGCTTGTTCCTTCCCAGACTAACTTCTCCTTGAGTCACGTTGTATTCCAGCCGGGACAAACTTCATGTTGGGTTGGAGACAGTTTGAGTTTATTTGAAATCCATGGTCTAGCTCCTTCTTGCAAGACAAAGAGCACAGCATCTCTTCTGACCTACATCTAGGTAAAGTGACTAAGGTACAGAGTTTCTTAGCAGCCACCGGGTATTGGATAACCTTATTTCCCCCATAGATCCTCAAGGGCTCATTTGTACAGAGTGACTGCATTTGATGATTTTGGGGGTGGTGGACTTAATTAAATTGGTAATTTTTATCCAATGAAAGATATAGCATAATATTGATGATTTTAAAAGTTCTTTTAGGTTTTGGATTCTGCAAGTTGCTGTTTTAGAATCACCATAGTTGGATGGGAATTTGATTTCTTCACAGGTAAAGGGGTTTCCTCAGCAGGAGGAGCTGTCAGAATGTACTGAAGGTTACAATAGTAAATAGGCTCTTAACTCTAATGACTTCCCTAATTCGGAATGCACTGTAAATTACAAAGATCCCAGAATGAAAGCCTGATAGAATGGTTCTGAGTCCTAGACTTCTCTACTTTTTCTGTTACTATGGTCAAGTAAGAGTTTTTGTGAATATTCATTTTCTAGTTACAAAACTAAACAAATTAAAATAATATAAAATGTTAGACTGCAAATGTATATGTAACTAGTATTTATTGACTAAATAAATGATTAATATATTATAAATTGTTTTACATTATCTACAATACTATACATATCATGAATTTGTGTTAAAATATTTTTTCAACAGGATTCTCTGACATCCAGCACACCTGAACTGAAGCCATGGTCAGTATAAATAATATGACTGAACTGATCATCACTGGCCTTTTCCAGGATCCAGAGGTGCAGAAGGTGTGCTTTGTGCTGTTCCTTCCTGTGTATGTGGCCACAGTGCTGGGCAATGGCCTCATTGTTGTGACAGTCAGCATCAGTAAGAGTCTGCATTCTCCCATGTACTTCTTCCTCAGCTCCTTGTCCCTGGTGGAGATCTGCTACTCCTCTACTGTTGTCCCTAAGTTCCTCACTGATTTACTTGCTAAAATTAAAAGCATCTCTCTGAAGGGCTGTCTGGCTCAGATATTCTTCTTCCATTTATTGGGGGTTGCTGAGATTCTTCTGCTTGTAGTGATGGCCTATGACCGCTATGTGGCCATCTGCAAACCTCTTCATTACATGAACATCATGAGTCATCAAGTGTGTCACATGCTGGTGGCTGGCTCTTGGCTGGGGGGCCTCATTCACTCCATAATCCAGATCCTCATCACCATTCCATTGCCCTTTTGTGGTCCCAATGTGATTGACCACTACTTCTGTGACCTCCAGCCATTATTTAAGCTTGCCTGCACTGACACCTTTATGGAGGGGGTTGTTGTGATGGCCAACAGTGGTTTAATCTCTATAATCTCTCTCCTCATTTTGGTGACCTCTTATGTCATCATCCTAGTCAACTTGAGGAACCATTCAGCAGAGGGGAGACGCAAGGCCCTCTCCACCTGTGCTTCTCACATTACAGTGGTCATCTTGTTTTTTGGGCCTGCTACCTTCCTTTATATGAGACCCTCCTCTACATTTACTGAAGACAAACTTGTGGCTGTGTTCTACACAGTTATCACTCCCATGCTGAACCCCATCATCTATACACTTAGAAATGCAGAGGTGAAAAATGCCATGAAGAAGTTGTGGTGCAAAAAGAACTCAGAGACAGAGTGAAGGGAGCAATAAATGATGGGAAAGGATTTTAAAAATTAGTCTGTTGTTGATGTAGATTTTGCTGTTTTGGTACATATTCAAATATAAAAGTAATAAGAAGAGCATAGTTCTACTGCTGTACCCCTCTTAGTAACTAAATACTCCAAGGACAGGGGTCAGGTAGTCTCACTGACTACCTGCTGAATTTGATTGGCTGCGCAGTTTCCTGGGTTCTGCATAGTTCCTCATGAGTCTGAGAAATTTGAAGACTCAAAGAAAGCGCAAATACAAAGAATATTTAGAAACATGTTTGTATCTTTCTTCAAGACATGGTAATATTTTATAATGTAGGGTAAAGTATATTTTAATACTTGCATACAATGAATAAAATAATTTTACAGCCATAGGTTTATTATTGTTTCACAAGTTAGCATTTCCTTTAGTTGAGAAAATTAAACATTCTTTCTAGTAGCTATTTTGAAATATTTATGTGTGGTTACCTTTTTGTATTAGAAAACATTTGGAATTATTCTTCCAATTCATCTGCATGAAGGTACAAATTACTTCTACTTTTTCCTTTCATTTCACCTGTTTGTTAATAACCTATATTTTATTGAAAAGGAAAGTAACCAGAGGTATTATCAGGGGGTATGTGGTGCTGTAGTTATCAACCTGTCTTTTTCTAATGTGGATAAGCATGTTGTTGGGAAATGCACCTAGGGAATTTTCTATTGTGGCTTTTGGATTCTTGTATTGAAGACCATCTGATCTCAGCCACCAGAAAAGACAGTTTTAATTCTTGTTATATACTGGCATCAAAGACTGTCTTGGGGGCTCTCTCACAATGTTTAACATTTGTAAATCAAAGTAATAGCAAAATAACACAATTATACCTATGTATTGAGAAATAAATAAAATGTTTTTACAAAAATGAAATGATTTTCAGCTTTATGAGATGTTAGAAATATAGAATGTTAGAAATGCTTACTGTCTTAGCTTGAAGAATGAAGGACAGGATAATACTCTTTCTAATTCACATCTATGTCCCATTATTGTAAGTGAGCATGCCACAGCTATTTCTTCTAATGGCCATTGATTTTTTTTTTTCAGTGAAGGGAGATAAAAGAGTCTATGCCAATCTACGTTGTTATAGCTCCTGGAATCTCTTCAATGACCCATTGTCTCTCCCCATTGTGAAAAGTTCTGAGTATATCTTACAATTGGTCCTTGTTGGCTTAGGTGTTGTATGGGATTGCACTGATTTGCATCTATTCACCCAGCTTTTCTCAAGTGTGTGACATGCCAGAGTGGGCTGTGGTTTCACTAAGTGTCTTTTGGGCTCTGAGATTATATGCAATAGCAATTTGTTTTCAGGACAAGGCATGAACAAATTGTATGCTGATGAAAACATTGTCTGTCTGTACTAATGCATGATAGTTCAAGACACATGGCTACAGAGCATTCAAAGTATGTATAGTGCCATTAAAACCTGGAATTTTTAAAATTTAATTTTAACTTACTAAAATTAACATAGGCACATACTGTAGGGATTATCAAACTTGATAGCAGAAGTATGTTTTCTTCAAACCTGTAGATGTCTTAGTGTTAGGGTGAGACTTCTATCCCAATACCTTGATGGCTGTCTGGCTAACTGCCTCTAACCTCAGGCTTTCACTAACTAGTTCTTTATCTCATCCTCACATATCCTTTCTAATGACTCCCAAATTCCCACACAAGTGTCAGAGTGGCTGGAGAGAAGGGGCATTGGCAGCAGCCACAGGCCACGCCCAGCCAGTTCATCTTGATCTCTCACTAGCCATCTAAGAATGTAGTTAAAGCCTGTGTAATTTCCTGCCTCATGATCTGCTTAGCAGAAGTTCTACACATAGCTAGGGATTTTGCTGGATTATTTGTTGAATGAATGAATTGGTGAATGTTATCTGTCAGAGCCTAATTCTTGCCACTGTCAGCACCCAGAGAGGCAGAAGTACAGGGAGAAGTAAATGCATGTTATACACAAATATTCAAATATGAGAATGAGAAGGTGAAGTGATAATAATGTCAATCAACACTATAGTTTTATATAAAAGTGGTAACAGGAGAACAGAAAGTCATTATGGAAACAGCTGTCCTTAGTTGGATACTCACTCACTAGCTGATCAAAACCTAATGCTCAGAGACTTTCTTTCTGGATAAGTGAGACAGTTGATTAGCTTGAACTGTTTGGGAGGCTCCCAGGCAGTGGAGCCAGGACCTGTCCTTGGTGCATGGGCTGACTTTTTTCGAGCCTGGGGCCTATGCTGAGACACTTTGCTCAGCCTTGGTGTAAGGAGGAGGGGACTGGACCTGCCTTTGCTGAGTCTGCCAGGCTGGGCTGACTCCCCAGGGAAGACCTTGCCTTGGAGGAGGTGGGAGTGGGGGGTGGACTGGGGAGGAGGACTGGGGGGTGGGAGGAGGGAGGACAGGAGAATCTGTGGCTGATATGTGAAATTAAGTTAATTATAAAATAAAAATACTATAAAAAAGAAGAGAAATTCTGATATTTATATTAATCAGAAACTGTAGGCCATAAGCTATATCACCTTTACTTTTCTTTATGTACTTCTCCTTGTTGGGTGTAACACAATATTGAAATGATACTAAAATGATTGCAGAAGATTTAGAAACTTTCTCCAAGTCATAGTTTATTTGGCTAAGTTTTCCTACAGGGAGAAGAAATTCCATGGGGAAGTTGGTCTCTTGATTATATGTGTGGATTTGTTTACCATGAATAGTCCAAGTTTTTGAGCATTTAATCACAACCTTGGACATTGTGTGGGTAGATAGGATTGCTACATCAAAACAGGATTTTATTACTCCTGAATTTTCTATTCTCGTGGATGTTATTTATATGCTGGAAGTTGTAAATCTAAGTATGAATCCTGATACAGGATGGCCAAAAATTTCCTTTCCTTGTGATTTTTCTTAGTCATCAACCTTATTTTCTAAATACTTCACAGGTGTTTGGTGTAGGGGACAGATTCAACCCTTGAACCACAGTAACATTTCCACCTCGTATCCCCAAAGCCTAAGGATTTGGAGAGAGCATTGATTTCTGTGGTAGTACTAGATAAATGATAGAGTGTGGCTTTGGGAAATCAATTCACCTGTCTCAGACTCTTCCCTTTTCTTGTACATTCAGAAGTTGAAATAAGATTATTCTAAATAATTATTATTAATAATTAAGAATAATTGTTCTCCAAATTGTTTAGGACAATGCTCCTAGGGTGATTTTGGTGAGTGTAACCTGGGTTTGGGTCTTCCATGGGCAGTCTGCTCGGTGGTGATATTATTAGTCAAGGGACTTCATTTATGGAAGAACACAGGATCTGTAAGGAGGAATGTGATACTCCTTCCCTGTCTAGTTTTTTCCAGAGCACAACCTCTCCTTGAACCATGGTCTGTTTCATGGGAGCAGAGTATTTTATGGTGAATTAGAGACAATTTATTTGAAATCCAAGGCAGAGCAGGAGCACAGTAGCTCTTCTGACCTGAAGGTAGGTGAAGTGACTAGAGGTAAAAGCACGAAGCCTATTGGCCACTATAGGTACCAGGTAACTCTTCTTTTCTCTAGCCCTGTGTATACAGACTTATGTGTTCACCTGCTGATTTGTGATTTTGTAGACTTGTCCTCTTGGCTTCCATGCTTCTTGGTGAGCCATTCATTGTGAGGAAAGAGAGTGGTAATATGTCATAAGGATAGAGAGGCATGAGAACTGTCTTCTGTGATAGTGAAATCCACATTGCAATGTAGAGAGGAAGAATACAGAACAGAGAGGGAAGAGAGGATACCCTGGGGTAGGCAACTGCTGTGTAGTGTCTATTTGGGAACGGACTATAAGGGGACAAACTCAGTAAGAGCAATCCCGGAACGACCTTGAACTCCTGAAAGCATCAGCATTTGTTTTGTGGGAACAGGGATGTCTTTGTGTGTTTTTAATATTTATTCAGTGCTCAGAGAAGAGAAGTATTTGCAATGGCATCATTTGGAAAAATCTCACTGTATAAACAGGTCTTGAATGGGCTTGCAAGATGGGTAGGGTTAGAGGGGACAAATGAAGGCATTCTGGCAAAGTGAGGTTCTGTGTTGGGAATGAACAGCATGAGTGTGTGTGGTGAGGGAGAGGACTGTGACTTGAGCAAGGCTAAGTAAAGGCTCGGGCAGATGAGGTCGTAAAAAGTGTGGAGGAACCTAAGATTATGAAAATAATGACTATTAAGTTAGAGTAATTTATAATTATCCTGATTGCTCTCTTTATGAATGTTGAATTAATAAGAGCTAAAACTTTTAAGACAGCAGAAGACATCTTTATTGCTGACAAGATGATAAGGGAAATGGAAGTTTGTGTTTGTTACAAATGACCTTGACAAAACTTAATCCCTGAATTAGGGAAACACACACCCATTCACTAACCATTTTCAGTCTGTTTAAAGCTGACTTACGAATATTTTTTTCTTGCATATTAATTTAGAATAAGTGTTTCAACTTTGAGATGTCAGTCAGGGACAGGAAGAAAATTGTGTAGGGTCCAGTGTTTCTAGGCTTCATCCCAAGTGGAAGAATAAATAATGGCCTGTCTCTTCAAACAATATGTTTGGCCCTATAATCTATTCTTATTGCTTTTGAATTTTTATTTATTTCATTTTTTAATTAATAAATTCCATACAATATATTTTAATCATATTCTTTCCCAACCCCCTACGACTCCCCCCAGATTCTTCCTCTCCCTACCCACCCAACTTCATGTTCTTTTTTTTCCAAAAAAATCAACTAACCAAAAGAAAATCAACTAACCAACCAAACAACAGTAATAAACCCACCCCCAAAACTACCATAGACACCCCCCCCCCAAATACCAAGTCTGTTTTGTGTTGCCTTATTACTTCTGGGAATGGGGCCTGCCCTGGAGTGTGCTTATATACTCAGTGTCACTCCATGGGAGAAAACTGATATTTCTCTTTCCCAGCAGGAATCAATTGCA